CTCACACACACACACACACACACACACACACACACACACTCACTCACTCACTCACTCACACACACACACACACACACACACACACACACGCAAAATGGCAGCCTCATGAAAGGCCGGAAACATTGAAAGCCAGCGATAAAATGAATACTGTTTTAGCCCTGACAAAAAGGTATAGTACAACCTTTTATTTTATCATGGAAACTTTTAAAATATTATTGACATGTACAGGGTGATAAAAAAACAAAAACAACTGTACTACTTTTTTTGTTACTATTTTCCTCCACACTGAAGTTTTGCGTTTCAAATTTGTACGCAACATTTGGAAATCAAAAGGAATTTGTCTTGATATTTATTTTAGATAAATCCACATAATACTTTTGCTCTAAATAGCGCATAAAAACCAACCCATTTTCAGCTATGTCCCCATTTTTGTAGCATGACGCACTAGTTCGTATTAGGCCTACCACTCAAAATCCCAACGATTGCGCCATATTGCAAACTACAGTAGTCTAACAGGCCAACAGAAGTTTGCAGATAGTATTTTTCAAGTTTCATATGCCTGCTGAGATCATGGTTAAGGTTAGTAAAGAGCAGAGAGCTTTTTGTATGGAACATTTCCTCACCACCAACTCATTTAAGTTTCGCACAAGGTACGGAAATAATGTTAAAGTGCCCTTAAGACCTTGTTTGATGTCAAGGGCGGAAATGGTCCATCACTTAGGACCTGGAGAGAATCAGAACTAAAAATTCCCAGACAAAACGACCATTTCAGGTTAAACACTCACCGTTCGCCCCCCCCCCCCCTTTAAACCTAGTTAATCAGGGCGCAGAATTCAGTAGATGAGCCCCATGAGACGTCTGTCCGTAGCCGATGTCTGGACAATGACTTTCCACCACCTCAACGGTCTACATTCTCAAAGATCTTCATCTACGACTGTACCATTTCCCCGTTCGATAAGCTATCAGAGGATAGCAACAAAATTTGTAAAAAAAAATTGTGACATTTGGTTCCTTGGCAAAGCTTATATTCACATTTCAGGTTATATCAACTCCTTATTTAGGCAACCTCACCCATTGTCTCTAGAAACAGCTCTGTACTGTAAGGTGTACAGTATGTGTGGCTTTGTGTACTCACGGTTGAGTGGATCCTTGTGTTTGGCCACCACTGAACATTACAAACGACGCGTTAAAATGTGTCGAGTCCAAAGGATGACATATTGACCATTGGTTCTTGGAATTCCAGAATTTCAAAAAATAATCTAACCCTGTAGTAGAAAAGAAATCTTTTTTAAAGGTTACAGGGATGGAAAAATTAGATTTTAAAAATAAAACCAAAGGAAGCAACAAACCAATCATTTCATGACTTTCCTTACAAGATCTTTTAAATTAAAAGGTGCATTTTGCATTTATAGTTTTCTTTAAATAAAAAAAGCCATTTCCGTTTTCAAAAATAAGTTTCTTCTTTGTGAATTTTATGTCAAACACATTCCTTTCGAATGAATTATATCTGTTCCAAATTACAACATTCTAGTACACATTCTTAGTGAGTCAAAACCCGCTTTCTTAGAGAATTATTATTAAATCAAATTAATTTTTTTGACTTCCTGAATTTTATGGGCATACGTCTTTCGCGTACAAAGACAAAGAGAGTAACCACTACTACACCAAATAAGTGGAAAGGCTCGCTGTCTATATGAAGAAGAAACAAAAACAAAACAACCACCCACCCCTTTTCCCCCCTCAAAGAATTCTGTCACAGAAGTGTTCCCCTTCCCTGACCGGGGATAGGTCTTTTTCGCATTTTGTTCCTTTTAGTAGGCGTCTTACGGCATTTGCAACACAAATAGGTCATATAAAGTGCCGACGACTAAGAGGTGTTACAAGAGAGTAATAAAACAAAAAATGAAGGATAAAAATGACAGATGTTTAAAAGGAAATAAGGAGCAAACCAGACCAGAGCACCCGCCAACCACTCACTTTTATGAACATTAGAGGTGTGTTACAAGAGAGTAACACACACAAAAAAGGAGGAGAGGTAAGGACGATAAATGTGTTGCAAACTACAACAAGGCACCCGCCAACCACCCACAGGTCCTTTTGGACCCTGCTGGCAGCTATCTGGGTCGTTTTCAGCAACCTGCAGGCAAAACCAGATGTCCGGCCGGGTAGCCAATAAATCCCGGCTTGTTATGGAGGGGAGTCCGGGGGATCACAGGGGTGGGTTAGATCATGACCGGCTGGTGTGTGTGTGTGTGTGTTTGTGCGCGCGTGCGTGTGTGTTGTGAGTGTGTGTGTGTGCGTGTGTGTGTGT